CGATCTCCTCCCCGGAGCCCCTGCGCTGTCGCGCCCCTTCCAGAGCGTGTCTCCTCCCCGCGCGCCCCCCAGTCCTTCCCGCACCCGGACGCCAGCGCGCCTGGCCGGCGGCAGCCGGGGGACTGGGACGCGAGCGCGCTGTCCCGAGCACGAAAAATAGCCTCAGTGAGCGGGAGCCGCCAGTGCGACTCGCCCCGGCGTGGCCGAGGAAAGTCGGTTTCGCTTAGCTGAGGTGAGGCGCCTCCCACCTGTTAGCGTTCCTGAACACTGTGGACAAGCTTTTCCTTGTGCCTAGGTGTAAGCCCCCGAAACTGTGTCATTAGCTGCTGCGTAGTTCCTCCGCGTCTCCGGCGTTTCCCCTCTTGGAAGGGTGTTGTCATCTCGGTGGGAGGCGCGTTTTGCTGTGTAGTACAGTGTGTCACTTCGTGCTGTGCTGGACTGCTGGAATATAAAGCCCACAAAACAAGCGCCCTTTTCAAATATCAGAAGATACTAAATAAAAATTACCTACTCTGCCTCGGTCATCGGTGCAATAAACCGACTAGAGTTAGTAGTTCCTCCCCTGTAGGAGCTTATGGTTCATCGCTGGAGACAAACAGTAGCTGCCAGAGTGATGACGTCTGTGAAACCTCCCTTTGATGTGGCAGGTGGAGGAATATGGGAAAATAATAGCATGTGCAAAGGAAGGCAGCCTGACGTGGCGTGATATTTAAAGAACCAAGAAAAGCTAAACAGCTGGAGAGAAGGACGAGAGGAAGAGGGGGCGAAGGAGGCTGTCCGCTGATAAGGAGCTCGACCATCTAGAAGCCTTTGAAGGTTGTTGGATGCCTCTGAACGACTTCAAGCGGAGAAGTGAAGTGGTCGGATCTGTACATAACGTAACCAGAATTTGTCAGATACCTGTGATGTGTTCTGGTAGCGAGGCAGAGACAGAAGCAGGAAGCTTGGTTGGAAGGCCGTTCAGTCGGCCAGGCAAGAAGTCATGTGAGCGTGAAGTTAGCCCTCGCAGGATCGGAGAGGAGGGGCTGTAGAAGACATTGAGGAGGTGGGACCTTAGGGCCTAACAGGGCCTGGTGACAGGTGGTGGCTGGTGAGTGGCGGGGAGCTTAGGATGCCTCGCTTGAGCAGGGATGTGGAAGGAAGGCATTTTAACCATTTGCGTCTTAAATGTTTGTCTATAAACAGTAGACAGAGAGGTGTAAAACTTGGTAGTGGGTCCTGAGCCAGGGATATTGAGTTGAGAGTTACCAGGAGTGTCATTTCAATCTCAGGGATCATGTGTACTGTGAAACAATCTTAGTCCCAAAGACGTGACCTTTGAGAGTTGATTAAAAGTTTGGAGAAGACTGAGGAGTAAGGGAGGAGAAGCCAGGTGACAGCAGTGTCCCAGGAGCTGAGGGAGGAGAGCATTGGATGCAGGTGCGGAGTGCTCAGCAGACTTGCAAACACAGCGGAAGTCAGATAAGAAGAAAAGCAGGCGTTGGTTTTAGGAAGATGCAGGTGCCTGGGACAGTTGGAGTGGAACAGTGGGGACAGAAGGCCTCTTTTCTGTGAGGACGTTGAGTTAAAAAGTGAAGGAGATTGTCCCAAGGGCTTGGCTGAGAGGGTTAGCAGGAACAGGGTTACCGACGGAAGGGAGACAAAAGGAGCACGTCCCCTCCCCGCTGCTGCTTTCTCTCAGCCTGGGCCTCAGCTTCCGTCTTCTAACAGATCTCCCACCTTCCACCCTTGCTGCCTGTAATTCTTTTTTCAACAGTAGTCAGAGTGAGCTTTTAAGAGAAGTTAGATCACAGCACTTCCCTCTTTGTAACCCCGTAACGCTTTTCCTGGCATAAAGTCTGAAATTCCTGCATCGCTTATAAGGTCCCAGAGGCTCTGCCTCCTGCCACTTCTTGGACCTCATAGTCCTGTCCCCTTATTTCTTCTACTTCACTCTTTTTGTTAAACCAGCGGAGCTCACCTGTGCCTGAGGCGGTTGCCTCACAGCTGACCGTGCCTTGGATCTCTCGGCAGACCTCGCGTGCTGGTTGCATCTTGCTCACATCTCAGCTTGCTGTCAGCTCCTCAGGGCAGCCTTTCCTGACCACCCGATCTAAGGCACTCAGTACGACCCTTGCCTCCACTCATTATTCTCAGTCACATCTTCCTGGTGATTTTTACCACCATCTGTACTGTCTAGTATGTGACAACAAGTCACACATGGCTTTGGAGCCCTCAAAATGTGACCACTGCCACCGAGTAACCGAACGTTTAACAATGTAAATTCAAATAGCCAGCTGTGGCTACTGGCTATAAGATAGGAGAGCACAACTATAGATGCTAAAACCTCAGGTTCCCGCAGGTTCAATACTTACCTAAGGCCACAGAGTAAAGAACAGACCCAAGAGCCAGGCACATATCTAAGTGGCACAGTGCTTGCCTGGTAAGTGCAAGGTCCTGAGTTCGATTCCCAGTACCAAAAAAAAAAAAAGAACAGACCCAAGATAGAAACCATCCCACCATTACTGATATAATCGTGCTCCATTACTGATACTAACTTGCGTTATGCTTGTAGGCTAGTGACTATAGTTTATTACTCTTTTAAATCAAATTCTTAGGCTTATATATGTTGGTATTATTGTGACTACCCTGATTCATGTAGAAAATTAGAAACTCTTAGCCAGTGAACCCCTTTGCAAAGTGTATATTTTAACCAAATATTTAAAATGGTGCTGTACTTTACAAATAAAAATCAGAGAAACAGCTTGGTATGTAGTTTAGTTGGAATTTTTAGAGTGACGGGTTTGAATTTCTGTAGTCATATCTGGCTATCTTTTACAGAGCATCAGATATTGTAAAGAGCTCTTCATTAAGAAAACCCAAATTTAAACTTTCATTACAGCATAATTTTATAAAGAAAAGGTAAACTTAGGGGCTGAGGGCATATTTCAGTGGTACAGTGCATACTTAGCCTGCACAAAGTCCTGGGTTCAATCCCCAGCACCCCCACCACCACCCAAAAAGACAAAACAGGTAGGACCTCACATAAACTGCTGCTGATGGTGGATGGTTTTGCTTTGCTTCACCTAATTAATGTTATGAATGATTACTTTTTGGGAAGCAAACTCTTAAGGTAATTTTAGTTTTTTATCTGATTCAGTGTTAATTTGTTAATGTAGCCGGTGTCTAGAGGATATGTAAATACCAAAGAATTATAGAAGCTTATCAGTTGACTTAGTATACTTTTATTTTTGTGTAGACAGCTGCTAAAGATATTAGTGGAGGGGCTGGGGATTTAGCTCAGCGGCAAAGCGCCTCCCTAGCAAGCACAAGGTCGTGAGTTCGGTTCCTGGTATCGGAGAAAAACCAAAAAAAAAAAAAAAAAAAAAAAAAAAAAAAAAAAAAGATATTAGTGGAGCCGGACATGGTGGTGCACACCTATAATTCCAGCACTCAGGAGGCTAAAGGCTGAGGCAGGAGGATCATGCAAGTTCAAGACCAGCCTGGGCTACAAAGTGAGCTCAAGTTCAGCCTGAACTGCATAGCAAGACCCAGTCTCAAAAAGGGACAAAAAAAAAAAGATATTAGTGGTTCCCAGTACCCGGGCACCCAGAATTTAATACCACTGTCTCTTACTGAATTGTTGAGAATAACAATATGTTTTTATGTTACTTTGTATCTTGAATTATAAAATGAGTAGTATGTAGCTTTAAAAGATCTTGATCAGTACTATTTCCCAAGGTTCACATCAGTGATGGCTATTTAATAGTTGTTTTTATAAATCAGGTACCATCCAGTTCAGATAAAATCTGGTCTTACTACTTTGAAATTGCGGGAATGGGTATTAGCGTGAGTCCCTTTTTATGGGTCCCCACTTAATCTATGGTGACATAATTTCCAGTGAGACTGATTTCTAGATCAGAGCCTTCTGAAATTTACATTGGACTTGGGCAGTGAGCAGATGGAGTCAGAACATTTGATATCTTCAGTTTTTTAATGTTATGGATCTCTTAACATACCTGATAGTAAAATTACTTCCTGTTGGTTTACTAAAAGTATAGAACAACTTTTTTTCTTGCCTCTTTTACTGACAAGATAGAAGATAAGGCATGGAGCAGGTAATATTGGAGTCATCAAGTGAAATCATGTTTTTATGTGATCACTGACGAAAATGCCCTTGTTTCTTAGACTTACACTGATGTATGTGTCAGCTCCTGTCCGTTGTATATATAGTAGATACAGTCCCTGCCAGGCTACCCACCTACCAAAAAATTCTCGTACATTCTTCTCCCAATGGAGCTTTAGAATTATATATTAAGTTCTAAAACAAAGCCAGGTTCATGCTACGATTTTGATGAAAATTGTCTCCAGTTTATGTGTTAAGAGGGGTTGACACTTAGCCAGCCTGCATATTTTTTCTTCAAGCTAAATGTATTGAGATATAATTTCTGGATAAACATTATGCATGTTAATAGTGTGCAGTGTGATGATTTGATACGTGATTACACTGTGGAGTGATCATTGCAGTTAAGAAAGCCATCATTTCACATGCTTTTTTTTTCTTTTCGGTGAGCAGAACACTAAAAATCTACTCTTAGCAAATTTCAGGTATCCCCTGGGGTATCACCAGCCATCATCACCGTGGTTTGCTATCTATTAGGTCCCCAGAATTTACTCCCCTTATAGCTAAAGCCTGTTCCCTTTGACCACGTCAGCCTGTGTCTGTCTCTCCCTCTCCAGCCCTTGACAAGCACTGAACGACTCTGCTTCTGAGTTCAACATTTCAAAGCACTGCATATAAGCAGGGCATCTGGTATATGCCTGGATGGTTTCATTTATATCTTCATGTCCTATAGCAATGTTTTTGCTTTAAA